TTTTTAGACTAGTCTATATTCTAGTCTATAGTCTAGTCAATATCCTAGTCTATAGTCTAGGTGTAGTCTAGTCTATAGTATAATTAATATTGTAGTCTGCAGTCTATAGTCGTCTAGTCTACAGTCTGGTCTATAATCGTATCCCTGCTTAAATAACAGAAAAATGTTATTTAAGCAGGGATACGAAATAAATGAAAAAACTTGTTTATTATCTGAAAATTTGTGCCGATTTTTCGCAAAAAAAAAAAAAAATAATAATCTGGCAACTCTAAATTAAACAACTAAAAATAAATTGAGTTTTTTTCAAAAATTTACGTAAATGTTTATATTTTTTTATTTTAAATTGTGTTTTTATTTAAAATATTTAATTAACATCATACTTACTGAGTTTAAATTAAAATGTTAGTTATTTTGGTCTTTTATTTAGACATTTCTCGCACTGTGCAAAAAGTGGTAATAGAAAAAAATAAAGAGATTGTGCGAAGAGAAATGTGATAGATGTCAGTTAATAATGACGTTTGTTGTTATTGTTTCTGTAGGTCGTTTTGTTATTATTTTAAGTCTTAAGAACGAATGAACACCCTTTTTTCGGTTCAACAAAAATTTTGTAATTGCGGATGAGTTGAGTGTGTGTGTGATTTTTATTTTAGTAGTATTTCGAATAAAATTGTTTTCAAAAGAGAAAACTCAACGTAAGAAATATAGGGAAATATTTAATACACGTGATTTTGTTTAATTTTTCTTTCTTTCTTCTAGTATATTAATTTTTAAACGACAACACTTTATTTTGTTTTAAAATATATTTTAAACGACAAACTCATTATTATCTATGTTAGTCAATGTTTTAATTAATTTTCAACAATTGAACAATTTTCAAAATCTTTTTTTATTATTTTGTAACACGTTTGTTTGTTGTGTTGTTTATAATAAAACTCAATACTCTGCCTACTAACAGCGGCGAACAACGTACGACAACTGAAACGTTTTGAGAAAACTTTGAAACCTACAAGCAAAACCACCACCGAAAAAAGCAAAAACTGAAAATAAAACTGAAACACACTAAATATTAAATGAAAAAATATTGTATACCTATATATCAAAAGACAGAATACACTCAAAATTCCATACGAAAACGAATAATAACGACGAACTGATTTCAATACTGGTCGTAACGAAAATTAAAACAATAACAAAATATATAAAAAAATAAAAGTAGACTAAAAGTAAAATGAAATAAGATTAAGATATGAATAGAGTCAGAAGGAAAGGGAATAGATAGGTAAATTACTCAAGAAATAAAATACTAAAAAATCGAAATATATTTTAGTAGTAAAATCCAAAATATGTAAAATAGAGATATTATACTTTTGTAATTATAGCGATAAAATTTTTTTGACAAATTAATTTTCTTATCAATTTAAAATTTTTATGATTTTTTTCATAAATTAAATTTAAAATTTTACTTACATTTTGTTGGAAATGATTGAATTTTTTAAATAATATTTGGTACTCTCTAATTTGAAATACATACACTTTGTGTTTTAATCTCTATCTATGGATAATTATAAAAAAAATATGTTTTCTCAACCCCGTTTTAAAAAACTGAAAAATTTTGTTGTTTTTATTTCAACGTTCCAAATTTCATTACGTTCCCATATTAAATTTTATTCATTTTATTCTCATTTTATTTTTTTAAGAAAAAACAATTTTCACACAAAACCACTTTTTGTAACATAAGTTCCCAACATTTAAAGGCAAAGCGTCCACAAAAATATTAATTAAGATGAATTTTTAAATCCTACATTACTACTCTGGAGATCAGATATGGACATGGACATTACCATCGTTTCTCCTCATTAGATCTTAAAACGATGAAAACATGATGGGGTCCGAAATAAGGTGGAGGATTGAAATTATCCAGAAATACTTGTTATTGATGCAAGTTGTAAATTCGACATAAAAAAGTTTCATAATCTGAAAAACTATAAAATTGTATTTAGATTGGTCAAAAAATAATACTACCCCCCCCTATAAGGCCCCTTATAAAAAGAACAACGTTGACTACGGGCGTTAGTTCGTTAGTTAGTTAGTTAGTTAGTTTAGTTAGTTAGTTAGTTAGTTAGTTAGTTAGTTAGTTAGTTAGTTAGTTAGTTAGTTAGTTAGTTAGTTAGTTAGTTAGTTCGTTAGTTAGTTCGTTTTAGTTAGTTAGTTAGTTCTTGTTAGTTCGTTAGTTAGTTAGTTAGTTTTTAGTTTAGTTAGTTCGTTAGTTAGTTCGTTCGTTTAGTTCGTTAGTTCGTTCTTAGTTAGTTTTCGTTCGTTCGTTCTCGTTCGTTCGTTCGTTCGTTCGTTCGTTCGTTTTCGTTTCGTTCGTTTCGTTCGTTCGTTCGTTCGTTCGTTCGTTCTTCGTTCGTTCGTTTTTTCGTTCGTTCGTTCTTCGTTCGTTCGTTCGTTCGTTCGTTGTTTCGTTCGTTCGTTTCTTCGTTCGTTCGTTTCGTTCGTTCGTTCGTTCGTTCGTTTTCGTTCGTTTTCGTTCGTTTCGTTCGTTCGTTCGTTCGTTCGTTCGTTAGTTCGTTCGTTAGTTCGTTCGTTCGTTCGTTCGTTTGTTCGTTCGTTCGTTCGTTCGTTCGTTCGTTCGTTCGTTCGTTCGTTCTTTCGTTCGTTCGTTCGTTCTTCTTCGTTGTTCGTTCGTTCGTTCGTTTCGTTCGTTCGTTCGTTCGTTCGTTCGTTCGTTTTCGTTTCGTTCGTTCGTTCGTTCGTTCGTTTCGTTTCGTTTCGTTCGTTCGTTCGTTCGTTGTTCGCGTTCGTTCGTTCGTTCGTTCGTTCGTTTTCGTTCGTTCGTTCGTTCGTTTCGTTCGTTCGTTCGTTCGTTCGTTCGTTCGTTGTTTCGTTCGTTCGTTCGTTCGTTCGTTCGTTCTTCGTTCGTTCGTTGTTCGTTCGTTCGTTCGTTCGTTCGTTTCGTTCGTTCGTCGTTCGTTCGTTCGTTCTTCGTTCGTTCTTCGTTCGTTCGTTCGTTCGTTTCGTTCGTTCGTTCGTTCGTTCGTTCGTTCGTTTCGTTCGTTCGTTCGTTCGTTCGTTCGTTCGTTTCGTTCTTTCGTTCGTTCGTTTTCGTTCGTTCGTTCGTTCGTTCGTTCGTTCGTTCTTCGTTCGTTCGTTCGTTTTCGTTCGTTTTCGTTCGTTCGTTCGTTCGTTCGTTCGTTTTTTCGTTCGTTCGTTCGTTCGTTCGTTTTCGTTCGTTTTTCGTTCGTTCGTTCGTTCGTTCTTGTTCGTTCGTTCGTTCGTTCGTTAGTTAGTTAGTTGTTCTTTCGTTCGTTTTTCGTTTAGTTCGTTCTTTCGTTAGTTCGTTCGTTCTTAGTTCGTTGTTCGTTCGTTCGTTCGTTTTTAGTTCGTTAGTTTTTTGTTCGTTGTTAGTTAGTTTTAGTAGTTAGTTAGTAGTTAGTAGTTAGTTAGTTAGTTAGTTAGTTAGTTAGTTAGTTAGTAGTTAGTTAGTTAGTTAGTTAGTTAGTTAGTTTTTCTTCAAATTACTTTGTACCATTTATTACACTATCGACCCACTTACAGTCCGATACACCGATTGTGAATCCCTGCCTGTGAACGAATAACCACTTCATCAGCACTTGTTCGTTGCTGGTCGGTCGGTTGTTGTGTTTCATTTCGATTCGACGCAGTTTCAGTTTAAATTTTTGTTTGAACACATTGATTTTCAAAACAAAACTTTTTCAATATGGAAATATTCGAATCAACAAATATACACAAAAACAAACACAAAGCAAATTTGCTCTCCTTCCTCATGTTCCTCTTTTGAAATATACACTCACACTCTCTTTCTCTACCGCTCTCTCGGTTTTTCTTCGTTATCTCTTTTACTTTTTTTCTAACTATTATTTCAAATTTTAATAAATACACAAGATATGAAATTAAATAAAATAAAAAATTATTGTCAGGTTTTTCGTTTTTTTAAAGAGTTTTAAAATTTTATTTTTGTATTTGTTCGTGTGTTTATTTATTTATTTATTTTAATTTTATTATATAGAGTAGATAGTATGTAGTAGATTTTGTTCCGACATCTGAAATTGTTTTACTTTTATTTTGATTCATGATTTTTTTTTGCAAAATAAATGATGGAAACAAAAGTATGAATTATTCGTCATATATTAATTCTCTGTATTTTATTTTTAAATAAATTATTTTATTTTGGTCTGGAGATGATAACTAGTAAATGTTTATACTTTTTTTCATAAAATTTAAAAGTTTTATTAATAATTTTAATTGTTATTTTTAAATATTTCGATTGTTTACCTTAGATTTAATTATATGGAAATGTCATATCAATTTTTTGCGAAGGTCACTGACCATCAAGACAATTTTTTTCAGTTATGAACTCAATTGGAAATTTGACACTTTAACAGTGTTGACAGCTGCAGTGTTTAAGAAAAACGTTAAAATAGCACAATATTGTGGAGTTCAGATTGAAATGTTCGTACTGATGTGCAATTAAACATTCAAGTATATAGTACAGACTTTAGTCAAGTATGTATATAGTCCAGATTATACCTAATCCAAAGCACAGTGGATTTTTGCAAACAATTCGGTATCTCAGGAACTATTGGAGATAACTAGACTATAGTCGAGCCTCTTGAACTGTAATTGGTGACTATAGTCGAGCCTATAGACGGACTATAGTCAGCCGACTAAAGTATAGTCCACCTTTGGACCATGCTATAGTCAAGTCTATAGACCAGACTATAAAATTTATCGATAATATAGTCGAGTTTTTGGACTAGTCTAGTTAAATCTATAGAGCAGACTATAGTCCAGTCTATAGACCAGACATAATTCCAGGCTATAGAAAATATTGTAGTCCAGTCCAACAACCAAATTTTTTCTATGAATCGAATTTCAGTCGTTATTAAAAATCGCTAAATTATCAACACTTGTCCATTTAAGATGTATCTTAACGAAGAAACTTGTGCTCTGCGTATCTAATAATATGACGAGACAATAAAACTACGAGATACATTTTGAAGTAAAGTACATTTTAAGGTGCAAAACAATTGAATCGATGTTAAGTGGAAAACCTTTAGAACTTAACAATTCAAGAGAAATAAGTAAGTGAGCAAAAGAGGTATTTATGTTTGTACATCAGAAATGGATACGATGCATAAATAGAACAATTGCACAACATGTCAGTGAGTGTGCACTAATTAAATGAGCTAAATATAAGAAACAGGTAAATAAATTTTTAAAAAATATTTCAAACTCACCAACACTCGATATTTTATTTATAATAAACTATATTTCCGCTCTTTTTAATTTACACTTTTAGATATTTTGCAAATACATATGTTTTAGATACGAGAGTATGGACCATTTTAAAATGTTATTTACTCCGTTTGACAACAACTTGAAGACAACACATCTTCCTGTTTGTTGTATCTATGAATCAAAACTGATTTTAAAAAAAGAAAAACTTGCCGGTTTGAATGCCAAGATATTGACTGGATACATACAAAAACGAAAATGGAACAAATTACAAATATACGAGTATTCAACATCAATTTGTTTTCTTTTTATTTCGCTGTGTGTTTAGAATGCGAATTGAGAAGAACTGAATAATAGTAAGACAAAAATAACAACACTGTTTGTATGGAAAACATGACTAAATTTTTCTATATATATTTTTTTTTTAATTTTCTTCAATATTTACTGAGATTAAACTTTGTATTGATTTTAGTTAATATATAGTTTGAAGAAAATGTATCATTCATTACACAGGCTAACAGAAATTTTAAAAAAAGTCGAAACCCATAGCACGAAGTATACATTTATAAAGGATTTTGCTGCGTTGAATCCAAATCTGTCCTTCTAATTTCACTATCATATCTATCCGGAAGTAACGTTTCAGTAAATTGTAAGATAAGATTTTAAGTTCTAAATTTCGTTTCGACTTTTTTATCTATTGAGTAGTCTACAGACTATGGACTATAGAGTAATGTAGTGACAAGTCTATGTACTATTATAAAGACTAGACTATTGAATAGTCTATGGACTAGGCTGTGGACTACTTTATTGATTGAGTCTATTGAGTATTCTTTAGCTAATCTATGGACAAGTATATTGACCATTCTTTTGTCTACTTTATGGACTAGTCTAGTGACTAGAATATGGACTAGCATGTGGCCTAGTTTAATGATTAGCATGTGGCCTAATCTATTGATTAGTCTGTGGTCTAGTGGACTAGTATGTGACTTAGTCTATCGACTAGTGAGTGGACTAAGTAAAAGTTATATTGACTAATCTGTGGATTAGTTTATTGACTATTTTCGTCTGTCCGTCGCATGGACTAGTCTATTATGTAACTAGTAAGTGATCTAGTCTACATTTATAAAGGATTTTGCTGCGTTGAATCCAAATCTGTCCTTCTAATTTTTCTATCATATCTATCCGGAAGTAACGTTTCAGTAAATTGTAAGATCAGATTTTAAGTTCTAAATTTCGTTACGACTTTTTTATCTATTGAGTAGTCTACAGACTATGGACTAGTTTAGTAAGTAGTCTATAGAGTAATGTAGTGACTAGTCTATGTACTATTATAAAGACTAGACTATTTAATAGTCTATGGACTAGGCTGTGGACTATTTTATTGATTGAGTCTATTGAGTATTCTTTATCTATTCTATGGACAAGTATATTGACCATTCTTTTGTCTACTTTATGGTCTAGTCTAGTGACTAGAATATGGACTAGCATGTGGCCTAGTTTAATGTTTAGCATGTGGCCTAATCTATTGATTAGTCTGTGGTCTAGTGGACTAATCTATTGACTAGTATGTGACTTAGTCTATCGACTAGTGTGTGGACTAAGTAAAAGTTATATTGACTAATCTGTGGATTAGTTTATTGACTATTTTCGTCTGTCCGTCGCATGGACTAGTCTATTATGTAACTAGTAAGTGATCTAGTCTACATTTATAAAGGATTTTGCTGCGTTGAATCCAAATCTGTCCTTCTAATTTTTCTATCATATTTATCCGGAAGTAACGTTTCAGTAAATTGTAAGATCAGATTTTAAGTTCTAAATTTCGTTACGACTTTTTTATCTATTGAGTATGTACAGACTATGGACTAGTTTAGTAAGTAGACTATAGAGTAATGTAGTGACAAGTCTATGTACTATTATAAAGACTAGACTATTGAATAGTCTATGGACTAGGCTGTGGACTACTTTATTGATTGAGTCTATTGAGTATTCTTTAGCTAATCTATGGACAAGTATATTGACCATTCTTTTGTCTACTTTATGGACTAGTCTAGTCACTAGCATGTGGACTAGCATGTGGCCTAGTTTAATGATTAGCATGTGGCCTAATCTATTGATTAGTCTGTGGTCTAGTGGACTAATCTATTGACTAGTATGTGACTTAGTCTATCGACTAGTTTGTGGACTAAGTAAAAGTTATATTGACTAATCTGTCTGGATTAGTTTATTGACTATTTTCGTCTGTCCGTCGCATGGACTAGTCTATTATGTAACTAGTAAGTGATCTAGTCTACATTTATAAAGGATTTTGCTGCGTTGAATCCAAATCTGTCCTTCTAATTTTTCTATCATATCTATCCGGAAGTAACGTTTCAGTAAATTGTAAGATAAGATTTTAAGTTCTAAATTTCGTTTCGACTTTTTTTATCTATTGAGTAGTCTACAGACTATGGACTAGTTTAGTAAGTAGACTATAGACTATAAAGACTAGACTATTGAATAGTCTATGGACTAGGCTGTGGACTACTTTATTGAGTATTATTTAGCTAATCTATGGACAAGTATATTGATCATTCTTTTGTCTACTTTATGGACTAGTCTAGTGACTAGAATATGGACTAGCATGTGGCCTAGTTTAATGATTAGCATGTGGCCTAATCTATTGATTAGTCTGTGGTCTAGTGGACTAATCTATTGACTAGTATGTGACCTAGTCAATCGACTAGTGTGTGGACTAAGTAAAAGTTATATTGACTAATCTGTGGATTAGTTTATTGACTATTTTCGTCTGTCCGTCGTATGGACTAGTCTATTATGTAACTAGTAAGTGATCTAGTCTACAGACTAGTGTGTGGACTATGTAGTTTATTGACTTGTCTGTGAACTAGTTTATGGACTAGTCTCTTAAATAGAATGTGGCCTAGTATATTTATATATATATATTAGTATGTGGACTAGTCTATTCACTATTCTCTTAACTAGTAACCGACCTAGTCTACTGACTAGTGTTTGGACTAGTTTATTGACTATTCTGTGGACTAGTCTATTGACTAGTATGAGGTCTTGTCTCTTTATTAGCCTATGGACTAGTCGATTAATTATTCTGTGGACTAGTCTCTCAACTATTCTGTGAAATAATCTATTAACTATTCAGTGGACTTGTCTATTAACTATTCTGTGGACTAATCTATTAACTAGTCTGTGAAGTCTATGAACTCCTTGGCAAAAAATTTCCAACAGATTAAGTTTTGAAGAGATCATTCTCCCAGCTATGCGGGAGTATATTTAAAGAGTCTTCGATTTCAAATTTTAAAGATCTACAGGTCATACGGGGTTAAAAGTCTAAAGAATTTTAAGTTTTGACAGATGGTGGTAAGAATAAAGCTATTTAGTCAATATCTAAAGTTATCTTTCTCCATTTCTTTTTGAAATAGACCCCCTTGTATTCATTAGTATTTAAAAACTCATCATTATAATTTATTGTAAAAAAATGTGGAAAAATCGATTTCAGGAAAATTCATTCTAAAAGAACTACAACATTTTTTTTACGAATTTTAATATTTTTTTTTTGCGTAATTATGTATGTGTTTGCTGTTATAAGGATAATAACAAAAAAAAAAAAAAAATATCCTTGACATATTTCAATAAAGATAAAACTAAAAAGGAATGAACAAAACTCAACACAAAATAAGTAAAATTGAAAAAATACGAAACTTATTTTTCAATGCGCATTAAAATTTTCAGAGAGTTTAAAAATTTAGAATATCAAAATGAGAATAAAGAAAACTTTTTGGTAATTAAATAACAGTATTGAGATTTTTTTTTAAATGTACAATTTAAGGGTGGATTTTTTATGAAAAATCATATTCTACAGAGTATATATGGCAAATGTTGTGATATAGAGTGGAATTGAAATGATTTATTGAAATAATGTCTAATAATTGTAGGAATGGAGGCTTAGGCATAGAGATTTTAAAATTAAATGCAAGATAATTGGTAATAAAATGGGTCTTTTAAAATCAATAGATTTTATCAACTAAAAACATAAAGTTCTCCATAATTGAGGGACTTACTGGTAAGAGGAGGGGGCTAAAATAAGCTGTTATGCTTTTTCAATAAAAATGTGATTTTTTTTTAAATAAATAACTGTAGTCTGGTGTTTTTTCTAAATATTTGAAACACAATGGAATTGAAAACATTAAATTGTAAATGAGTTGAATTGTTTAAACAATTTAAATTTAAAACTTTTGTGTTCATATATATATGATATTTTATTATTCAATGTTATCTTTACGTTTGAGCTGATAAAATAAAATGAACGTATAAAGTAATAGAAAATTATCTCGAATATAAAAAAATATATATATTTCTAATTCAATACAATTTCAAAATAGAGAAAGAGAGAAAATTTGTTAAATTATGACACATTATTAAAATCTTTTTAGAAATTTTCAATACTGAGAAAGAAATCATAATATTTTCTTATGTCAAATTCGTCTAGAAATTGTCATTCCAGCTCTTTTCTAGATTCTCTGCTTGGTTTAATAAATTTGTTGACTCTTACTATTTGTGACTCTATTTTTAGCTTTAAATACAAAGCTAAACTAAAAAAAAAACTTGTATCGAATACATAATATAAGTAGATTTTTTTTTTTCGTATTCACTATTTTTATTTTTCCATTTTTGCAAAAGTTTATTCAACTGGAAATCTTTTTGTGTGTGTAACTTTTTCTCAAAATTGTGTATTTGAGAATTTTTTTTTCGTTTTGACTTTAAATACCGGTTTAAGTTGGAAGATGGTTTTTTAAACTAAAGTTTAAGAATTTTAGTAATAATAAAAAATTATTTTCAAAATTAAAACTACACCATTTCCTATTGTTATTAAGATTTTTTTCTATAGAAAAAGTGTTGAAATTAAATAAACTTTTCATATAGAGAAAGAGTCGACTTTAGAGAGAACTTTTAAATAGAAAAAGTTTCAATTATTGTCAGACTATATAAAAAGAATCGACTTTAATCAGACCTTTTCTATATAGAAAAAGAGTCAACTTTAGTCCGAGTTTTTCTTTGTAGAAAAAGAGTCGACTTTAGTCTGACTTTTTCTATATAGAAAAATAGTCGACTTTAGTGTGATTTTTTAGAAAAATAGTTGAATTTATTTTGACTTTTTCTATATAGAAAATGAGTGGACTTTAGT